TCCTATGGGTGGCAGATATACTGATGGGATATCTCATGGTTTCTTCAGGAACAATAGATAGCTTGCAGCATCAGGATTTTGGATTTTTACTTGTTGTGCACAAGCCTCAGCTTAGCATGACTTTTCCAGATCTTACTATAGTCTTTTAACAGACTTAAAACAATTATTGGGGTGCTCATAACCTTTTGTGGAGAGGACTCCCACCAGTCGTCTCGGGAAAGATATGACAACACCTGGGATTAGGGCTCCAGCAGGCTGGATGCTGTGATGAACCCTTAACCATTGTTCAAATGTTGCCCATACCCCCTCTGACTCGGTCTCTTGCCTCAGCATTCCCTAACCCGGCAACCGAGTTTTAGTCAATCAAGTTTAAATAGGCCTCCCATAGTGGGACCGGGGAATGTACGGCCCGAGATGCCTATTAAACTTAGAGCTGTGTGTGTGTGTCTGGGGGGGGGGCAAGTCCTTAGTAAATCCAGATTAGAACTGGTCTGATAAATGCTGAGCTGGGTGTGTGTGAACATGGGTTGATTAACATTTGAAGCACAGATTCCACATCATGCAGTGTTCTCCTGCTTCTCTGGTCCCAGAATTCACTGCAGTCTCTGCTTTAGGCTTTCTGTTCTCCATCTCTCATGTAAATGAATGGTCATCTGGTTCCATCTTGGATGTAAATGAGACCTAGGGCAGTTGTTTCACTCTTATCACCCTTATCTGGTGAGGGTCTTAGGTGCGTCTCTCACTGCATCTTAATCAGTTTCATTTAGGTAGAGGAGGGGAGGGAGGGGAGGGGTGAGTCCTTTGTGAGTCAGACAGACTGCATCCTGTGCCAGGGTTGCCCAAGAACACAGAGCTGAGACGTAACAATGGATAGTCAAATTCTGCCTACAAATAGTCACTGAATGTTTCTGTTAAAAAGGATTAGGCCTCTAGAAATGGAGGGAGGAAGCAGAGCAGAGGGAAGAGGCCAGGGTCCTTCTTTCTCCAAGGATCCAATGACCTTTTGGTCCATTATCCTTCTTGGTTCTCTGTGGCCCTGTCTCAAGGACCTAGCATCCAATTCTGCTCCTGAAACTACCTACTGTTGGGGAGACCCAGTGCAGTCCCCAGTCCCAAGCAGCACAGCAGAAACTGACAGTTTCTTCAGTAAAGGCATGTACTGGGGCAAAGGCTACTCAGCCAGAGGTTCTCTGTCCCTTCCAATAGGATTAAGCGGTTCTTCCACCTCAGCCGAGCACCTCCAAAAACATTCAGCTGTTCCCTTTCCACTTCCCCAGAGCTCCTCCATTCTCTCAGTCCCCAGAGTCTTCTGCCCAGCAGGTGACAGGCTGGTCCACCACCATCTTTATCTACTTCGGACACCTCCTGGGTATTGGCTATCTTACCTTTGTTGGTATGTCAAGCTAGTCATTCAAATCTGTTGATGCTGAAGGCCCACCTTGTCTCCTCCTGTATGTAGCCAGCTCTAGCACCCTGGCACTTAATCCTTTATTCTCTGTGCATGAGAACATGAACACAATTAACACAGAAATAGCACAATAAAACCTGTAATCCATCATGCATTCTGTCAGTTCCATGCTGTCAGTTAAATTTGCTAAGTTAAATCAGTTGAACCTGCTAAGAAGCAAGGGTGTCAAACTTGCCCCAGGCCAGATCTGTGGGGCCAGATTTTTTTTTTTTTTTTTTAAAGACATTTCAAGTCCAAATCCATGAGTCAGTCCAGAACTGTAAGTGGCCCTACAACTGGCAAACATCCTCCATCCCCACCAGGGGCTTCAGACATTTCCAGCTTTTAGCAGGCATCCTACATGCAGGCCCAAACCTGGGGGTTGGATGCCCCCAAGTTTTGCCTGCCCTCAGCCATATGGCCACAGGAGTAAGCTCGGGAAGAGCCTCCCATTTCCATGAAATCGGGTGTAAGTCCCAACACCTCAGCGGGTGCTGAACCACGCCAGAGGAATAGTTATCCCTGGGAGGACTTAAGGAAAACTGCCTTCATGGACCCAGATACAGGGCCAACTGCGACAATGGTAGCCAGTCCAGAGGTGGCTGTAGCGGAGCTGTGTAGGAAGCAGTAGTGGAGTGGGGGTGGCAGTGGCAGCTTAGCAGCAGCAGCAGGTAAACTGGATGCAGGGGAAGTGGGGCTGTCAGCACAGCCCTTACTCACCCTGTTTCACTGACAGCCATATATAGTGGGATACGAGCTCTCAATTCTGTGGAAGGCCATGCCCCCAACTTTCAGTAACCTGCTCATAGCTCTGGGGGTCGGATCTGGCCCATAGGTTGTATGTCTGACACCCTTGCTCTAACCTATATGCAGATTCTCTGTGAGCACACCCATTTAATGCCCTAGGCCTCTTATTTTAATTTAATATTGCAATGCAAGAGCCAGGAGCTCTGAGAGCAAGTTTGCTTCAGTATGGCTGTTTTTCACCTCTTTCACCAAGTCCAAAAGAATCAGAATTCTTATGAGACTTTGGAGTTTGTAAACTAGCGGATGTTTTGCAGGCAACACAGAACAGCTTTTTCAAAACAAGATAGCTTTTATTAGTTAACCAAACAGTATTGTTTTAGGGTCCTTGGGTAAGAACAGAAAAACAAACCATACATGTGCATGCATTATTTGCATCTCTGCCTAAAACATCAAGAGTTTATCTCCTTCTGCAACGGGCAGCTACAGTGACTTCACTTCTTCATTTCAGACTTGTTATAATATGTTCACATGTTCTGCCTTCTGTATAGCAGCTATTACAGTTAGTGTTCGGTCACTCATCCGCATTTGTCTCTCCAAGGTAACTCTGTTCATATGTTGGTAGTTCTTGGTAGTTTGTTCATGCCAGCCAATATGCATAACCTACATGTGTTAGGAAAGGAATTAGGAACAAGGAGCCTCCTATACCATCAAGTGTTGTGTTGTGCTAACTGCAGACATTTCTAAAATCAGCACTTTAAACCCTCACACACAACTACATAGAATAATATCTGAAACACCCAGGATACCCATTGGTAAAATCAACAGAAATTAGGGCATTGCCAAGGTCCTGCCTCTGCAGTGACAGAGAAGTAGTTGGGTAATATATGCACAGAACTAGGAAAAGTTCCATGCTACCAAGGAAGCCAAACAACTCCATAGTCCATACCAATCTGACCTAAGAAAAAAAATTCCTTCTTGGACCCAGATCTGATGACTGGCGTGATCCTGAGTGGAAGAGCAAGATGCTCTAATCTCTGGATTTTTGTAAGTACTGGCAGCAGCATCAACTCACTCCAGTTAAAACACTCTGGCCATACCTGTGACCAATGCCTTAATGCCTCAAAGGAAGGCAGAAGCCACTACCATTCATAAAGGAAAAAAAATTCTTTCCCAACCCCATCTAGCAAACAACAAAAAAAGCCTTGAAACACAGGATTACTAGACGTCTACCACACTACAGAGCTCCCTTTATACCACAACCGAGGGACTGCAAACGCATGACTCTGTATCACTGCACTGCCAGTTAAGCCAAACTCCCTGACCCTTCCACAAACGTATCCAGTCCCATTTTAAAGAGACTTCTGTTCCCGGCCCCCACTTCGCATGGAAGCCTGTTCCAAAACATTGTGCCTCTGATAGTTGGCTTGTCCCTTCTAATTTCCAGTCTAACGGTACCTGTAGCCAGTGTGTAGCTCGGGTCGGTTTTCAGCCTAAAAACTCTTTC